CGGAGATCGTGCGGGTCGAGTGCGCGAAATGCAGGCGAGAGTGCGATCTGTCCCATGCGCGCGCAACCCTCTGCGGAGATCGTGCAGGTCGATTGCGCGAAGTGCAGGCGAGAGTGCGATTTGCCCCATGCGCGCGCAACCCTCTGCGCAGATCGTGCGGGTCGAGTGCGCGAAATGCAGGCGAGAGTGCGATTTATCCAATACGTGCACAACCCTCTGCGGAGACCGTGCGGGTCGAGTGCGCGAAAAGCAGGCGAGAGGGCGACTTGTCCCATGCGCGCGCGTTTCTGTGGAGCTGGAAGATGAGAACTGGCGACTTTGTAGTACAACTGTAGTGCGCGGAGTAGCTGGCGAGCTGGAAGATGAGAACTGGCGACCTTGTAGTAAATCTTTAGTACGTGGACCACCCGGCGAGCTGGAAGATGGAAACTGGGGACTTTCTAGTGCAACTTTAGTAGGCGGAGTCGTGGAGTATCTGGGGAGCTGGAAGATGAGAACTGGGGACGTCGTAGTACAACTTCAGTAGGCGGAGTCGCGGAGCTGGAAGATGAGAACTGGCGACTTGGTAGTACAACTTGAGTGCGCGGAGTATCTGGGGAGCTGGAAGATGAGAAGTGGCGACTCTGTAGTACAATTATAGTACGCGGAGTACCTTGGGAGCTGGAAGATGAGAACCAGTGACTTGGTAGTGCAACTGCAGTACGCGGAGTATCTGGGGAGCTGGAAGATGAGAACTAGTGACTTGGTAGTACAACTGCAGTACGCGGAGTATCTGGGGAGCTGGAAGATGAGGCGACGTTGTAGTACAACTGTAATAGGCGCAGTCGCGGAGTAGCTGGGGAGCTGGAAGATGAGAACTGGCGACGTTGTAGTACAACTGTAGTAGGCCGAGTCTCTGGGGAGCTGGAACATGAGAACTGGCGACTTGGTAGGACTACTGTAGTATGCGGAGTATCTGGGCAGCTGGAAGATGAGAACTGGTGACTTGGTAGTACCACTTGAGTACGCGGAGTATCTGGGGAGCCGGAAGATGAGAACTGGTAACTGGTGAGTGGGTAGTAGCACCAACTCCATACGCGCATAGTCTGGGAGAGGCGAAGCTAATGTCGCCTTTAGAGCATCTGTGCAAACAGACTGTGCATTTTGCGTGGCTGACCTTTCGGTGCTCACAGTGAGATTGCAGAAGTCTCCATACAACTTGGGCCAGCTACCACCATATCTTAGCCAGGAACCAAAGCAACTCAACAGCAGTGAAGAATATACTTGCAAGAAGTTTCAACGCACCCCACAAGCTTTTGCAATATTCATTTCCGACATGAACCTTTACAAGGCAAACAGAGCCTTCTTATGGCTATGCATGTGCTGAGCCTCATTGACCAATGCTGAAGAACAATTTACCAATTTGCAGCCCACTTGCTCGTAGGTCTGCCTCTTTTCCCAGCCATAATGCAAGGAACCTTGGCATTGTTGACGACCACTTCTTCATCGCCACCCATGATGACCAGAGACAGGTGTGCCTCTGTTGGTCCTATGGTAGCAGGACATACCATGACAACCAACAACAGCCGCAACTTCACAGATGCCTACACCATCCAGATCTGCTTCGGGGCAACGCACTAGATCCAGACCAGGCCGGCAAAGACCCTGCTGCCTAACCAGGCAAAGACCCTGAATGGGGGTGAAAAACAACAAAATGTTCACATGGAAACCAACTGCATGTTTCATACCGTGACTTCTTCCAAACACCTTCTGTGTGGACGTCGTTCTGCGGAAGCGCAACAAGGCGGTTACTAGACACAAACGATCTTTTCTGTGTACAAAGGCTAGTCGCGAGCTGAGCAGAGAGAGTACGCTAAAACATATGCAGTGGCTGCTGTGTGTCACCTCATGCTACTTTGCCACGTTTTTCTTTGAGACAGTCAGTTAGACAATGACAAGCATAGTGGTTGGTTAACTACATCCTAGAGAAGCTGTGTCCTAGAGTGAAGGAAACGTTACCTCTCTTCGTATATCGATGGACGCATCTCCTCTGACAGGTCACTGCTTCGACAAACTTGTTGCGTAGCTGCCTCAGCAATTTTCTATTTTTATTCCAGCTCGCTTTTTTCGGTGAGATTTCCTGGAGGCGTGAACGCCGCTTCTCAAGGAATGGACACTCTGAGGTGGATGTAACGTCTCAGCGAGGGTCTGGCTCCCAGACAGAAGAGCTGTGTGCTTTACTATTTCCCTTTACCGGCAGCTCAAATGCTCTCGAAGATGAGCTGAGCTGTCACCGCTTGGCCGCCGGTGGGGGGTTTGGGAGGCCTGCGCGCTACTTAGTTCACTACATCTACAGTGAAGAACTTCACCACTTGCCCTTACCAGCAGCTCAAGTGCTCACGAAGATGAGCTGAGCTGTCACCGCTTGGCCGCCGGTGGGGGGTTTGGGAGGCCTGCGCGCTACTTGGTTCGCTATATCTCGAGTGAAGACCTTCACCATTTCCCCTTACCAGCAGCAGACATAGACACACACACACACAGACAGGGACTCATACACACACAGACAAAGATACACACACACACGCAGAGACCCACACACTGCCTCAACTCACTCGGACACACACACAGACAGGGACTCACACACACAGACATAGATACACACACACAGACCCACACACTGCCTCAACTCACTCGACTTAACACTTCACACTGAACACTTAACGCATAACTCACACTCTGACTTCATACGTGATCAAAAATGCTTTCGGGCCACTCGTCGTCTAGTTTATTTAAGCTGCCTGTAGGTTTCTGGTTCGTCCTGGGCGCTGTGGTGATCCTTAGTGGCTTGGTGATCCTTAGTGGCTGCCGTCCGAAGGCAACTCTGACTCAAGAAGCTGAGACCCAGACAGATGCGCCAGGTGCCCCGCCAGGTGCACGGGTGCGTTGGTCACACGGAAAAGGGCGAGCCTGTAGGATGTTCAGATCAAGACATGTGCTGAGTTGAACAGAAAAAAGATGAAAAAAGGAATACTTCCAGGATTCCAGGATCATGTTTCTTGGAAAGGAGTTGAGACATGCGACAGCTTTGCCGCCCCTTCCAGGAGATCTGCGAGGTGCAGAAGTGAACTTTGAGAGTGTGGTCGAGGCAGATGTTTTCCGAAGTTTCTTCTCGGGTGAGACCCAAGGCCGCCAAGACCCTAAGGGCAAAAAGTCAAGGCTGTTGGATGCAGAGACCTGGGACAGGAAACTGCAAAAGGCGCTTGCTAATGGCCACTGTGTTGACGACGACGCAGAGTTTGGGCTCTCCCCAGTTTGTGGCAAAGCAACCTTGATGCCCGACTCTAGGTTTCATGATAGTTCATTTCGTTTCACTCAAACTTGTTTTGGCAAGTGAAAGGGTTAGTAGTTATATAGTTGGCACTACCTGAACCCGGTTGACATTTGGGTGTGGAGCCCTGAACTTGGAGGTTGCTGCGAGAGAGGCCAAAAACTGTGTGAATTGGTGTCCCAGTCCAATTTTTGTTGAATTTCAAAGAGAGGTTGCCAGGAAGACGTTTTTGGCCTTGCAGGCCAATTGAAGTGGCCATTGATAGTTTTGGGATTGTGCAATCAGGAGAACATACTCTGGTATGTACTTGTGACGTTTCATATTTATGTACATAATTTTCGTTGTTTGCGTCCCACAGCATGTTTGATGGGAAACGGCAGGTGACATGCAGATCATCTGGCTCACTGAACAACATGGACCACCAGTGGAATCATTTACTCTGCAAGCGTGAGCTTTTGGACCACGGATCTTCACATCTCTTGCAAAAAAACAACCGGAGCAAACGTTAGATAGCACGGTACGTCTTGGCCGCTGGGTCTTGCGTCACCATGTTTGAGCAGGGCCCTCAGAGTTCCCAACAGCCGATCAAATCCTGTACACTGTGTTTGAGATAGGTATCTGACAGAAAAGTCAATGCAAAGCCTGCCTCCCAACTCATGGCCCAAGTCATTCTTGTGGGCTCAGATTCTGGGCAAATGTGGAATGTTGTTTCTGAGATAATGTCTCCAATTGCTTTGAGTGGTTGGATGACTCCACACTGAGTCTGGATGGGTTGGAGCGCGTCGATCCCAGTCCGTTGGAGGCAGTGGCAGTGAAAGGCATTCCAGCTTTTCGCGACTCTGTCCTTTGCAAAGTCTCGGTAGGGCAAGACATGCGTGCGTGGTTGGCAGGATCACCTTTGGCTAACTTTGGGGCGTTACTGCGGGATTTGCCAGGTCAACTTTGAAATTGATAGCGATGCACAACACTCAGCCAAGAGCTTCGCATCGTGCACCACAAGACTTCGCATCATCTGCCGTGAATGAGGTGCTTGCTTTTCGTTGCCCAAGTCAAGGAAGCACAGTCGAGCAGGCAGACCAGTAGCCTTCTTGGCTTCATCTACCAGCTGATTCCTGGTGTCTTCAACGCAATCCTTTTGCAACATTGCCCTGTGCATTGGCTGCAGGTCCGACAAAGATTTGAAAGTTGGGGTCTGTGCCTTTGGGGTCACCCGTTTTCATATTCGTTTCTCATACCAAAGCTGCCAAGGCGTGCCATACGCGAGCCGAATACGCTTTCTGATTGCCACAGACACGGGCTCCAGGACGGGGAACATTGCTTGGATTAAACAGAGTTGTACGTGGAACCTGCAGGCTGCCTCTTTCCCTTGGGACGGAGTGGGAAGTAGCAGGCTGTTATGAGCTGAGTTGGAGTCTTAAATGGTTGGGTGGTGGAGAGGACTGAAAGCCACGCTACATGAAGTAGACCTGCAGGTTTTTCATTGATTTGTCTGATTCATTTTTTCACAGGGGCCATCATCCACTTGCTACTTGTGCGTGGGATGCCTCATGGTTCATACCGCTCTTACGTAACAGCCAGGGCAGCACTTATTTATATAGAGAGAGCTGTTTGATTTGGCCTCAGCAGCCAAATCTCAGAGCATGCCTGGGCCAGGGCCTGGGATTGTGGTTTAAGGCCTATGATTGCGTTTGCCTAGTATACTGGCATGATAGGTTACAAACCACCCCTTTTTTGAGGTTCAAGCATGGCCATTGAAAGGACCTTGGTTCGCACCGATGTGCTGCCGGTGGCTCCCACGGTTGTCAGGCCGAGACAGTAAGAGGTGTTTGCCAGACCTTGTGATTTTAGCTCCTTGCCTATACTGACATGGTTCGCCAGTCTTGGAGGACATTGAAAATCAGATTTCCCACATGAACAGATTGAAAATCATTCATAAGCCCTACTTTTTCAGCGCATCCGACCTCGCCCACTCAGCACGTTTCCGATGCTTTAAACCTAGACCGACTTAGCCAGGCTGGAGGGCCCTGGCAGCGTGCTAACCGGAGTAAAGATGGCATTAAAGCGTTCCACCGAAGGTGGAGGGTCCACTGGAGGCGAGGGTATCTCCATGGCTATGAGTCAAAAAGATTCGTGGCGTTCTTGGGAGAGAGGTATGCATTGACTTTTGCAGTCCTTCTTTTTTGAGAGACATACATCAGGGTGTCCAAACATTGACCGAGCAATCTTCATTCTTTAACATGTTTCTTTTTTTTTTTGGAGGAAGGACAAGGGCCTTTGCGTGAACATCCACCAGTTTACAGGACAAGTTTGGGTAGAACATGCCATCATCCAAGGGGTCTGACCGTCTACTTTCTCGTCATGTCACATCGGATTACGGCTGCTGTTTGTGCTTTGGCCAAGCGCATTAGCTGGAGGTGGCTACCAAGCAAGCAGCTCGGAAGCAAAGCCGGCAAAGAAGGCCCGGAAACTCAGAGGCTTTTGCAAGAGCATCTCTGTTTGTTGTCTCCCCTGTTCGCACCTGGCAGCATGTTCAAACGTGGACCTGCAAGGTTGGCCTGGGCCCTGTTCATCGATCAGCCTTTCGACAATACCAGGACCAAGCTGTTTGTGAATACCTTACTAGTAGTAAGAATGCTCCTAGTTGCGTCCTTGCTCCTAGTAGCGATGCCCGGGTTCCTAGTAGCTTTTTGCTCCTAGTAGTATGGCCAGGAGCCCCTAGTAGCTTCTTGTTACCTTTGTTTGTCTTCAACACAGCTTTCCAGATCTCATGCTGACGACGAGGGTCTATTCAGCAGCCTGTGCAATTGTGCCAGGCTGATTTGCGTGGCAAGGTCGAAGAGGCAGTGAAACCAGTATTACTCTGGAACTGATTTGCGTTATTCTGAATGACGTTCAGTGTCTTGACGTTCCCCACCTCGTGTGATTTCTCTGACCTGAGTTTTGTTCGTTGGATCACCTGGTCATTTGAGCTTGTTCGATCCACTTAATCTAATGTCATTGTCACTATTGTCCCAGTTGTGACTTGCGACTGGTTTTGCCTTGCGTCATATTTCATCCCAGCTCGGTTGTTGGACTTCAACTCGTTTCATTTGATTTCCTTGCGCGCCTCATTTTTCAGCTATCATTTCGCCTCTCTCGTCTCTCGCCACATGGTACCCCATTGCCCCGAAAGAAGGCCTGTTGCCCTGCAGGTGGAAGGTGCTCAAGCTGCTGAAGATGAGCGCCGTCGTGTGCGAGAGGACGGAGTGGGCGAGTTGGCGTTGCACACATGGGCTATTGGGATTCTATTTGAGAAGATTCACATAGTAACAACAGGACGCTACGCTACTAGTAACAAAAGGCATTGCTACTAGGAGCAAGGATGCTACTAGGGCGCTCCTGGCCTTACTACTAGTAGCAAGAAGCTACTAGTAACAAGGGCATACATCTTCACATGTTGGAAGCGCTTGCACCAGTCTTTGAGCTTTGCAAAGGAATTTCTACGCAGTGCTGAAGCAAGGCGAAAGGAAGAACAAGACAGGCGGACTGGGTCTCTCCAGATGTGGATTCTTGGCACAAGGAGGATCAGATTTGTTCTGCTCGAAGGGATTACCTGCCCGAACAAGAATTGTGAAGTCTTTCCATGTTGGACTTGCCAGAGCTAGAGGATGCTCGGAGTGATGTGTGCCTTCATTTCTTCAGGTGGGCAAGGGAAGAAGCTGAGTGGGCCAATAGGAGGAGGGGGCAAATGCCCTCCAGGGGAAGACCAAGTTGATTTGTTCAAGAGTCTCTGGGTCAAAACCTCACTATTTACAAACATTATAAACACCCCGCAACACAGCACCTAGATCTTGACCCACACATTCTTCTCGAACTCGGAATTGCGCCAGCTCTTTGTTGAAATAGCCCAAGTTTCGATCCGGCCATGCAACAGCATCGTGCGTGAAAGGAAGTGGCAGGATGTGCATTGGTGTTGTGTGAGGTTGGATGCCCCAGGTCAAGCTTGGACCCATGTGCAGATGGAGTACTTGGTGTTTTCCATGTTTCTTTCTTGAACAGAAACCATCAGCGACTCAGCCGGCATGTCTCCAAAATGGAAGATATGATACAACTGCATTGTATTCACTTGTGTCGCGGCAGTTTGCAGTGGAATCTCCTGATGGGACTGTCTCCTATCTCCAGCTCCAAGTCTTACAGTAGCTCCCAGTGGAACAGTCTAGCAGGCTGAGTGAAAGGGCTTTGGACTTGAAGTTGGTGCATTCTTTTCTTCTTTCTCACAGCTCTCAGAAGCAAGCACTAGCACCTCATCCTATACTTTACATCACGCCTATGTCACAGGGCATGCACATTCGCACTAGGTTGCCTGCGGAAGCGGGCTCACAGTACAAAGCCACCTACCACAAAGTACATGAACGCCGTTGTGCAGTATCAGGGCACATGGCAGGTGACCAAGAACAGATGAATCCAAAGGAAACGCCAATTATTTTGACAACGTTTGAAGCCTGCCCCAGTCTGAATTCTTCGGTCACGAGATGGAACAGAGGTCACGATTCTCTGCTTACCGACTTGCAATTTTATGCACATCTGTATCCTTCGGCATGGAACCGGGCATGGTTTTTTCGCCCTCCATATTTCAATGAGATGTCTTTGTTGGCCAGCATGATTCAGCATCCAATGACTTATGCTACCACCCCTTCTGTGACGTACTTTAACTGGCAACATGTTATCAAATACTATCAAAGTAGAACAAGTGGAAGATCTTACAAGTTGTCGTGGCTGAAGATACAGCCTTCCACAACACTCGTCTAGCAAGCAAGGCACACCCACTTGTACCAGTCTATCTCCAGACTCCAGATTGTCGAGGAATTGGGGCGAATATCGCGTCATCCCCGCTTTGGTCCTTGTGGTAGGTGTGCCGCAGGTAAAGTACGCACACTCACTCTAAAGAGGGTACCCCACAAAGAGAAGATACCGGAAGCAGGGAATGAGCTGTCGCGGTTAAGCTGACACCCTAGAACAGTGAGCACTTATGCGCAACCTAGTCAAGCAGAAGTAGATAGATATGATACTGATACAAGTAGGAGGGGCAAATTTCACTGATGATTACCATAGCATTTCAGGGCGGGGTTCTGTGGAACTGCACTTGTGCGATGGTTTTTGGGAATCAAAGATGTTTTCACGAATCCTCATGTGTGCTGTTTCCGTTCTACAGGGTGGTTGAAGCCACCCTCATCCTGCATGCATACACACATTTCATCACATCACATCAAACTAAATTTGGCATCATAATGTTGTTTTTAATTTCAAAGGCATTGTCGCCCACGGATTCTCCAAAGGCACCAACGGTGGATGCAGGAACAGTTTCAGCCACTCAATTTTGAAGTGCGCACAACCGAGCGAAGCCGTGTGATGCCCTGAGCGCCATTCCAGAGAGTTCGAATTGAAGCAGCTTTTTGCTGAGTGCATTGGATTTTCTACGCTTATATACTGACTGGCTATGACTGGCTAGTAAGAGCACAGGTTAGAACCAGCGATGCCAACTCGTTGTCTCTGAAGCCGAACACATGGCCTAATCAAAGGAGCCACATGCTCCAAAATCCAAAGAGACATGTATGACACCGATGCTTTTTCCTTACCTTTTTTAGGTCCCGATCATTATTTCAGTCCCATTTGTCTCATTCTTCCCTTCGGGAATAACCAGGACATTTGGAAAACGACACGTGGCAACCTGAAAACGACCACCTCATGCGCCATGGGAGCGTTGGTGAGCGTCGCTTCCCTTTTCAGTCTGGTTTTAGCTGATTGCAGAGAGGGCATTCGGCCACCAGTTGCTCAGGCACTGGTGGATGAACTCTTCTTTGGGAACGACCCTATGTCAGATTTGAAGCTTGATGAGGCCTCAGAACCAATCAACCCCTGGATCACTCACATAGCTCCTGCAGACGTTGATTTGGTGCTGGCAGCGGCTCCAAAGCCTGTGACCTTTTGGCTGGAGTTGGGAGCTTTTGAAGGCGGCTCTGCCACTGTAGCGACTGAACGGATTTTGGCGCATGAGTTCAATGCCTCGGTGGTGGCTGTGGACACCTTCTTGGGCGATCTCTTTATGCTGTGGACACGGCAACCAGAGGACCGCAGGAAGATGCTCCGCAAGGATGGCGGCAGCGCAATATTTGACCACTTCCGACGCAACGTACGTGCTGCGGGGCTTCAGTCCTGCATTTTGCCTTTGCAAACGACCTCGATAGTGGCCTTGAGATTGGTGGCGTTACTGGCTGAGCGACAGATCACACCCTTACCGCAAGTCATCTACCTTGACTCAGCACACGAGGAGGGTGAAGTGCTACTAGAGCTCAGCTTGGCTTGGAAAGCTTTGCCACCGGGTGGTGTGCTGTTTGGGGATGACTGGGTCCTTCATGAGGGCTTTAAGGATGACAATGTCACAGTCCTTCTTGAAGGTGGCACCCAACGTGATGTTCTGCGCTTTGCCGCCCTGATCGAGGAAGAACTGGATGATGAATGGGGTCTGAAGTTCCAGCCTCTGCGAACCTTGGGTCGCATGCGGCCAGGTTTGTTTGTCTCATACCAATCTCTTCAGTGGTTTATGAAGAAGCTGTCCATGAAGAAACTGTCCAAGGTCAAGAACACCTGGCAGCAAAGACATCCCAGCATGAGCAATGCCGGATATGTTTGCTGGAGTATAGGCTTTCAGAAGGACGGGTGTTGTAACGAGACTCGTTTTGGACCTGGTGGCAATTCCAAATGCTGGGACTTGCTCTTCACCCATGAGAGGTGCTGCACATGACCATCTTTGATCAAAATGATTTGCACCAATGAACAGACCACAACAAACCTACAATATCCCGAGCCCTTGGCCAGAGCAACCTTGGTCTGGTGATTTTTGGTGTAAGTCCGTCCTTTTTCCAGCGTTGCAATACTCTGAGGGTGACCAGGCTGGTAAGAAAGAATTGCTGAGGGCCACCGACTACAACGGGAAGCTCTGGCCTTCACATCAAAATCACGGCATTACCATGCTCTTGATTTTCTTGAGGGACTCCCAGCTACTTTTTAACCACATTTGGGCTGGACCAGAGAAGTTACTTGCCTGGCTTGTCACTGTGAGACCAGTCAATAGTTTATGGGTGATGCTAGCCATGCTAGCCTAATGATGTTTGATCGCTACTCATTCAAACGCCACTTGAGATTCCCAATTGACGGGCCTTGCCGTCACGAGTAAAGCAGCTAAGCAGCTACGGCTCAGTTGCGAAACAGAAGTTTGCCTGATGTCTCGTAGGAGCTTCAGGGGACACTAGTAGGTTGGAGGCCATCGCTATCAGTTTGGAGGCCATTCCTATTGGGGAGGCCATTGTTTCTAGGTTGGAGGCCATTAGTGCAATAGCTCTGGCTAAGTTTTGTGCCCTTGCGTGCTGTGACATGCGCAGGCACAACCATCCTAGACAGGTGCTGTCCCCTGAACGCCCACCTCAGAATATTTCCGACTTTGCACCAACCCTGCCATGTGAGCCATGTTCTCTTCTCAGTTGGCGTACCATGCTTATGAACCGCAGGCACAATGGCGAGCGACGTTCTTGGTAGGATCATGCAAAACACACAGGAGGTACTGGTAAGTCCTAGTGTGCATAACATTGTAATCGCTCAAGAGAAGCATGGTGTTTGTTCACATTGTCACATCTAAGTGGTGTAGTGGGAGTTATCCTCAAACCTGCATCACAGAACGTGGTAGCACGATGTTTTTTGATTTGCAGTAGGTCAAGTGGGCAAGAAACCTGCATTTACACAAGGCTCCATTTGCCCAAGGTCGGCGCAAGGTTTGGCATAAGGGTTCTTCACAATGTAGTTGTGCAGTGTTCGCGCAAGCAATGCGCAAGGTTTGCCCAAGGTCGGTGCAAGAAAGACTTCAAGAGGGCTTTTCCGAAATCAAGTCTTGGCTGCTGGGAGTCCCTTTGATGTATCGAGGGATCAGATCTGAGAGTAGAATGATAGGGTGACTGGTCCACTGGTTTTCATCTCTAGGATATGCGTTTTTCCTCCCTGCAAACAAGTAACAACGCGAACATGAGGGAAGCACATTCAGTTCTTTATGGAAATACGATGCGGTTTCTTTGCCGCAAGCCGTTATCCAAAACACCCTTGGAGATTAAGCTAAACATGTTCATGGAATGCATGTGTGTATATATATATATAGAAGGTAGACAATTCGGAATATTTATACTCCATGGTCCATTCTGAGCTGATTGGAAAGGTGGTTGGTGAACACATCCTTCACGTAGATGCGTCCCATGGCAGCTTGGTCCTGAACAAGTCTTGAAATGTCAACATGTCGACGATTTGTGTTGCTTTAATTGAAAGTTGAAGAGCCGCTGAGCTACTCTGGGGGTGGGGGCACGACAGGTATGAAGATTCCAGCTAGTATGGAAAACATGTTTTGTCAAATCATTCCACCTTTGAGGTCCTGAGTCAATCATTGGGCAGCTTGGATGCGAAGAGAAACACGACTTTGTTTGAGACCCTCCTGACACTCCGGACTTGGACTGAGCGATGAGGGAGACCGGCTGGCTGGTGGATCCCGAATCACCTCGAATGACCAACCCTTCCAGACCTGCCCTGCTTCGCTAGGTGAATCCTTCTATTGCGTTCCTCCATCGGGCGTGAGGCTTGGGGCTGTGGCCCTTTTCGAAGCACTTCAGCTCCATCCAGAAGTTGAAGTCAGACATCTACGACTTTGGGATGAGTCAGTGAGGCAGCGGATGGACTACAGACTGGAGCATGTCTCTCGGCGTATGACACATCCTTCGCCATATAGTTGTATTGATGTTGCTCAACTAAGGCACGGGGCCCCTCACATCATTTTACATTGATTATTGATATGAAATCATCAGTTGTTGCAAGGCAAAGACAACCCAACCCACAGCATATGCTCCTTTTTTCCTCCCGGCCTCCCGGTCCTAAACTTTGAGAAGCAATGGCCTCCAATCTAGAAGCGATGGCCTCCAACCTAATAGCGATGGCCTCTATATAATTGCCAAATTGCTGCTTTCTTTTCTTCTGGGCGGAAGGTCCTGTGGTCTTCTTAGACTCTTGCAAGTTTCGCTGGTCAGGTGCGTGCGAAGATGGCGATGCTGTCGGCCTCTGCGTCGGCCACACAGCGGGAGAGCTTTGCAGCAGTGGAAGCCTTGGCAGCAGAAATTGCCACCGCCAGAGGCTGGTTGCCTGTTTTTTGCCTCAGATGTTTCCTTTGGTCATGGATCATCATGGACATCTCCTGAAGCAAATAGCACGAATAAGCTCTGTCTCAAAGTACCGCAAAGCCAGAACGTGAAGGAGCTCACTTAACCTGAACATGCTTCTTTAATCTTGTTGCTTTTTGAACCATGAGATAGAGCCAACCCCCTTCGCCAGGTCTGGTGGTTTCAGCTCCAATGTGGAACTATGGGGCGCCATATGCTGCTTGGGTAAGAAGCGCCCATGCTGGCTAACCCCCATCCCTGTGACCTCCGGAGCGCCCAGGTCGTGAAGCAATACTTCGACTCGGTGGCGCATCCAGGCATTCGGTGGTGGGCTGAATGCCAGTGTGGTGTTAATATCCCCATTTGGGCAACTCGGACACTCACTTGGGCGGTAAGGCATGCTGGGTCAAATCCCTTGCAATGTTGACATCATCATACACAGCCCCTCGTGTCACACCATCACAGACTCTCCTCAATCCAATGTCCCCGTAAAACCGGCCTCCCATTATATACCAAGACAAAGGGTGATCAATAATGTTGCCGAGTGGCGTGTGACATGCCGAGACTTCGTGGGAGAGGTCTCACCTTCAAGGAGACCTCCGAGGGGCCAATCGGACTGCTGGGCTCTGGAAGGCCAGCTGGTTTACTGATTGTTTGCAGTTTGTTCAGTTTGCCAGGTTTGTTCGGAGGCTAGTTAGTCTACGGGCTACACGGACAAGAAACCGTACGGCCTCAAGGCTGCTTCACGGAGTAAAACTACAGCATACCACAGCAGACCACAGCTACCATAGATCCATCGTCGGCACCTTAGAGAATCCCACAGTTGGCGTGTTCCGCCGACGGATTCGTCCAAGAGGCCTTTTCTGATCCTGACCTCCTCTGGTGGGTCTGCTACAAAAGATCATTTAACACCCTGGCTGCTTGCAGCTTGCCAGCACGGGAGAAACATTTCGCGAGAGTGTTTTTACTGTGGTTCGATGGCTTGGGTGGCTTGGCACAACATTTGACTACAACCTGTCTTTCATCCACAACTTCAGAGTGGATTAATTTCAATGGCGCTAGGTTTTCCTTCACCTCATCAACACACCAATGGCCTCAATTTGTGCAAAGGAAGACGAATGAACAGCACTAAGGACATTGCAGCAATGCTTGGGTTCGACAATGCAAGAATTGTTTCGGCTGCGAGCTTGTCCAGCTGCTTGTCGCATGAGGCAAGGGTCGATGGACCAACTGCTCACGTGCCACTGTACGCTTTGGCGCTTTTTGGGCGCTTCTGCAAGTTCAGAGAACAGTAGTGTGGTGGACGAAATACATAATCAAGAAAAGGGAATTTGCGCGTGGACAGATGTCTCAGCTGGGAAGACAGTCACCTCTATGTGCAGATGTCTCCCATGGTCTGGATCCCACTGGGTAACACTCTCTACCCAGGCCGTGAGCGCTCGGAAGTCTCTGACAGCTTCAAGCGCCAGGCAGCTGCAGCTGCAGAACACTTCGTCAAGAGGCGGAGCACTTTGTCATTGGGAGCACAACATCACGGTCTTTGGGAACTGATTTGTATGATTCCATGACACCACGGTCTTTGGATAACTTGGATGCTAATTTCTGCACAGACACTGACAATGCTTTGCAACACGAGAGCAGTGTTACCGTCCCTGGGGCGGGCGAGCGTCCAGGCAGCGTTTCTTTGAATAGTCTTCTCGTAGGCACCCCTGAGGGAAAGAACCAGCAAACGCCCACGGATTTTGTGTATGGGAGCGGCCCATGAACATAGAGAACATATAGAAAGCCCATGAACAACCCTTTCACATCTCAGAAGGAAATGAAAGAGCAGCAAATAACATAATGAATTAGTTTTATTAATTTTTTAAATACTATTTTCTTTATTATTCCCTTTCACTACTCTACCTTCTTCTTGATCCTTTCCTTCCTCTTTCTTCGCCTTCTCGATCTTCTCGCTCCGATCTACTACTACTACTGCTGCTGCTGCTGCTGCTGCTGCTGCTGCTACGACTACTACTACTCCTCCTATGCTGCTACTACTACTAGTTACTACGACTACGACTACGACTACGACTACGACTACTACTACTACTACTACTACTACTACTACTACAGTACTACTACTCGTTGCAAAGAGCTTCAATGCGAATCCTGTTCCTGTGGCGCTTCAGGAAGATGGCCCCAAAGGGCGACCTTGGGGAGCTGGAGGCAGACTGCGGACATGAGGAGATGTCTGTAGAATGGACACGAGCACATCGGGGATTGATTATGCACCGGCTCATTGCCCTCTGCGGTGAAGCAAGTAGTGTTCCTAGTTTTAACAGGAAAGTAATGGAACCTTTTGTGCAATTCCACAAATCATGCTATATGTAGACATAGTGACATATTACTAGAGGAACGACATATTTCTCCCTCTCTCTCTATATACAAATTATATGCTGTTGTGCGGAGATGGGGGTTTAGCCTTTGGTCTTCCCCTCATCTGTCTGTGAAGATGCAGGGAAACATACTCACACAAGATCACACATGGCTGTTTAGCCAATGACCCATGGCATTCAATGGATTTCCCAAGGGGACATCAGACACAAACAGGATGAAGCATCCTAGGAGCTTCTCTTCTGGCTGGAGAAGCAGGGCTTAAGTTCAGAGGCCTTGGAATCCTTGGCTCTAATCCAACTCTCGGGCGAGATGTCCGGAGCTTAAAGTCAAACATGGAGACACGGAGGGACTCCGGACGGCCAGAGATGAGATTGGTATGGATGAAGATCCAACCAACACTTCTCCCTGTACATGTTTGCCCCCAGCCATTGGTGCTGAAGAACACACCAAGCACGGTTTTTGGGTCGGTGTTGCTCTTGTGGAGCTATTGATCATCCGGATGAGGCTTCTGGCAGCCAAGCCAGCCGATTGGCATGATGAGGAATTAGGACTTCCGCAGGTGGGAAGTTAGAGTGGAAAGCAGAGCTGTTGACGGTTGAGGGTGTATTGTTGGCAACAACCTTCAGCAAATAGGTTCATCATACAATTTTGGGCTTTAGTAGAATTGATAGGTGGCCATGGACTGCTGAAGTTGCTCACAAAATGTCAAAGGTAGACGGCCAGTTGACCAAGTTCGGCAAACAGAATGATGTTGACGTACACTTTTTTAAAACCTACACTATAATCAGTGAGGGATGTTCATTGTTCTGCCGCGGCTTTTCCTGGTCGATTTAACATCCCTCGATCTGCAGTATTTGGCTGTTTAAAAGCAGTCTCCATTTCACAAGTCACAAAGCGAACAGACCAACCACCGTTTGTGTTCGTGACCTCCAGCAGCTCAAAACCCAATAGCTTCTAGCTACCAGTAGCTTCTTGTCACTAGTAGCAATGGCCTCCAACCTACTTGCGATGGCCTCCACCTAATGCAAATCAGACAAAGGTGGATGTATCCGCTGTGGCTGTGGCATGCCTTTAGGGTTTTTGGAGCTGCCTTTCGCTGAGCGAGCCCTCAGCGGCACTTGGGCGAACTTCAGTTGGCGCCCCCGACGGCCTCTTTATTTTCCGGGACAGAAGCGCCAATCACTCATTGCCAAGGAGGTGGGAAGGGACAGTCAGGCAGACTGGTAATGATTGGTGGTTTAGTCTGTTCAGATTGATCTTTGCCGCCGCGCACAAGTGGCAGTGTTCCTGTTTCCAAATTTCAGGGTTAGGGTTTGCAGACGGCTTTTGAAGGGTTCAAGCATGTCCACGCTGGAAGGCTTTGGCTATCCTCGATTGTCGCCATTCCGAAAGATGGAGCAAATTGCTCGATGCTGTCACTCTCGCAGAGAAGCGCTTTGGTATTGAGAATGCTGTCAGTGGATGTGGTGGAAGCTGCGCGGGCACAGCCAGACGATTGGAGCTCATGGCTCTTGAAAGTACATATCCTTTCAGGAAAGTGGCTGAGCTCTACCCGCCAGCAGAAGAAGCTGTTATGGCACGGGATTTGACGCTGAGGTTCTTCGGCTTTTCGAACAGATTCCTCCAGGTCGTGACATGTGAGATGACCGAAGAGGACTCGGAGCTGGCGTCCAGTGAATTCTGCATATACGGGTGGCGTGTCCATGTGTATTTGATGTGAGCGGGGATCTATTGGGCCCAGTCCAGATGACCGTTATGATGGGCATTTTCAGACACGATACAAAAAACAGACAATTTTACACATGTGCATAATGTACATATTGTATATTTGTATTTGGATTTTCAACTGAACTCCTTTCTCAACCCTGGAATCTGAAATGCGCTCACTCTCGGTCCTAGTTTGCCTCCAACCTACTAGCGATGGCCTCCAACCTAGTTAAGTTTCCCTCAAAATCTATCCGGCGTGTTACCTAGGAGCGAACAAATTCCTAGTAGCTACCTCAGTTCCTTGCTTAATGAAGTACCCGCCTACTTAATTAAGTAGGGAGGGGGGGAGCGGGCTTTAAAGATAAAGTAAAAAATTGGCCAACACTGAGGATGCTTTTTGTGAAACACTTTTGGCCTCATGCCTTGCCGCAGCTGACATTGCACTACGTCGATTTGTTTTTGGGGAAGTCTCTTGGTCTTTAGAGAAGATGTGCCTTTCAATCTCAACAAGATTAAAGGGTCACACTTCTGGTGTGTTAGCCGCAAACCAAGCCCTTCTAGTCAAGCCTTGACCGCTATTTGTGGAGCTTGGAAGTTGCTACAGATGTTTCCTTACCGTGTTGGAAGAATCCCACTCAAAACAAACACCAAGCTTCTATGGACCTATGGAAAAATCCACGTGTTGTCCCGAGGGACTACGCCGGCGACTTTTTGAGCGCCAGCTCTTGGCCGTTGAGCTTTTGGGATTTGATCTTGGGGACCGAGCCCGTCACGAAAGGGACGTCCAAGCGCACTGCACGCTTGCTTCTAAGCCAGACTGGAGGACGGTGTATGGTGAGCTTCGGTGAGCAACTGCCGTCGAACAGGGAGGGATCGTTGTTTCTTGTCGAATCATGCTTAGAATATGCCAGTTCGTTCTTTCCAATGTACCTCTTTGGTGAAGCCGACTGGTGGAGGAGCGTTGAGCCAACTGGTGAACGCACCGTTGCTGCGCACTTCCGTTGATCCTCAGGGCCTTGGAGCAGGAGGCCTCCGCCACCCCAGCTGGCAGTCGCTGCAAGTGGCGGCGGAGATGGGGCACATCTCCGTGACGGTGCCTTGTGTGAGATCAGACGGGGCACTAAAGAGGCCCAAACACATCCAAACACCACCGTTTTTCTTATCTTTTTTCCCCAACAGCGAAGCTAGGGGTCTGCCATAGTAAAGGCTTCGGAGCAGATTCGGAGCAGGCTCCGGAGAGCAGGTTCCGCAGCAGGTTCCGGAGCAGGTTCCGGAGGAGGTTTCGGAGGAGGTTTCGGAGGAGCTTCCGGAGGAGCTTCCGGAGGAGGTTCCGGAGCAGGTTCCGGAGCACGGTAAACCATGCGCGCGAACCATACCCGCACTTTTGCGACATTGTTTGTAGTTATTGTTTTGGCAACCAAGTGACGCTCCGTAGAACTGAGTGCGGCGATGTTGGTGGGCTTCCTGGAAGTCTTTGGACGACGTGAGCTCGTTGGGAAAGGGTATAGGCTTTGCACCAGCATGAAGCTTGATGGCTTGTGACATAGTTTTGCAGCACGCGCAACATGTTTCTAGTTGTTGGGGATGTGGCTTCGGCTTACTTCTAGTTAAATGTGCTACTTATACAGTCTGGGCTTGTCTGGGGCGTTTTGACGGCGGGCAGAGATTGTGTCGATCCTACTACGTGCCCCAAGCCACGTGAGCTTGCTCTGCAAAGACCGGGTGACCAACAAAACAGTGGCCCTAGCTGTGTCTCGTCAACGACACATGTTCAGCTGCGCGAAAATGTGCAGTTTGCTGCCAGACTTGTGTCAGCATCCGCAGCTCCGTGACCTGGTGGGCAGTTGGAGGCCATTGCTAGTAGGTTGGAGGCCATCGATTCGATGACTCAAGCAGGGGAAAGATGACATGACGTCACACATGAGATCACAATCCATGTCGGCCATGTCGATCCATCTTGGTAGATCCGAAACTTCGAGCTGAACTTATCGATCCTCGCCGCTTTGGAAGTTCTACGTTGCTCGATTTTTAAGGGATTCAGAGCAACCCGGAGCTACAGCACCAGCTCTTGAACAGTGTGGATGTGATCCTATGCTTTACCTATGGGAGTTGCATCGAGATGGGGAACAGGCGGTGAGCAGGGATTTAGCCAATCGATTTTGTTGGAAAAGGGTATATAGGGAAAACTCAGTGGTGAATGTGGAACTTCTCTACCCTTCTTCAACTTGGCACTTGGTGACTTTGTTGTGCATTTCCCACACGGCAGGGTTGCAAGCTTGCTACCCAGATGGAAGTCGGTTTGTTTGTGTCAATGCGATGTTTATCGGACAGGGAACCGAGCTCTAAACATGTTCAAACTCATTGAATGACTCTGGACAGGTACCAAAAGCCGCTGCTTCTCTATGATGGAATGCAGTATGGTCCCCTTGGTCCTCAACAAGCAGTGTTCTGTTTTTTTGTTTGTGCCCCAGGGCCTGACATATTGGGTGGGAAAGAATCCACACGAATCCAGATGCCTAGTAGCTATATACTAGTTTCCCTAAAAATCTAGGAACCATATCATTGGAAGCGTGAGCCATCCTGCGTCCTAAGTAGTAGCGCTCTTGTAGCTACTAGCTTCTCCCTTACTTAATACTTAATTAAGTAGGGAGGGGGGGAGCGGCCTTAAAAAAAAGAGTTATCCCTAAACCAATCCTTTGAAAGTCGACCGGTGAGCTGCCGACGCTGTGGGTCGCCGAAGAACCCTGGCAAGCGGAGGCCATCTTCTTCCAGACGAGCCTTCGCGTGCCTTCGGCCAGGCCGGTGTCCTCCTACTTGAGGTGGAGGCTTGGAACGGGTGGAGCCAAAGTGGCGAAGGTGGAAGAACGACTTGGACATCAAGAGTTGAACATGTTTAAAGGTGGCAAACGATTTGCCACGTTTGGACCCTGATGTTTGAAGGACATTTCTTGCGACAAACGACGCTTCTAAAAGGAGCGATAATTTTGGTGTTCATGAGTGTCATGAGCTGACCCTGGGCAGGTATTCTGCGACCAGAGGAGGCGGCATGTATTTTTTTTTTGGGCATTTTGGGGACTTAAATTGTCGGAAGAGGATGAACACCAGGGCAGCTTCAAGACAAGGCTCCTGAGAGTCCCTTCACAGGAGGTGTTCCATTCAAACACATGCCTTTACTTTCCTGTCGAGGTACCAAGCGCTTCGTGATGTGGCTCAATGACCGAGCCCGTTGTCAACCCTGCCACCTGTTTTGGAAGTTTGTCACCTTCGTCCTTCCGGCTGATTATCCGCTAAAGATCGTGCGGACTGATAAATACCTGGAGTACTCTGAGATTGTGGACGATTTTCGCGCCATGGTGGCCTTGCCACATGGAAACGCAACTTAGCTGATCTTCAGAGCAATTTGAGATTTCTGGGATGTCAATGTAGACAAGAGCAAGAGAAACTAGGATGTCTTGTCGTGCTGTCCTGTCTCTGACACACCGCAGGTGATGCAGATGATGTTCTATGAGGCTTCGAACATGGGTCTACCAGTTCTCTTGCCCGACTTGCGCTTGATGTCCCGGCAGCCTTCAAGCTGCAAATATGGCACATTGACGTTGCGTAGTGCGAAACTAGCTAGTAGGCAGTTGAATGGCATCAAACCTGTTTGGCAAGGGAAACCAGATGTAAGCCGCATGAGTTTTGGGTTTGTGGGTTGGTTTGTCGTGCAACAGTTCAATGTTGTGTGTAGGGTCACATGAATGTATATTTGGTTCCACTCATTTCCGCCTATTATATATATATATAAATGTAACGTGTCATCAGAAGAATTAACAAGGCTCGTACGTCTTTGTCCTGAGTGGACTTATGATCACTCCGCTGCCTGATCCGACAATCTGCTGATCTGATGATCCGATATTTTGCTGATCCGCTTGGGGATTCACCAAAGGCAAAGGTGTCTGTGTTGTAGATTTTAAAGCAGACGTTTTTGGATGCGTACAAAATGCGAAACAAATTTTTCTACCTCCTGACTGTAAGTAATCTCTTTTCGCCGTCAGCCTTGTTAGGAACAGGACTTCTGAAAAGATAGCCGGCGTGGTGAGTTGGAATTGAATACACCATCTCTGATTCTGACCACAATGTCTCGTGCCCACATCATCATTGAGATGATATAGAGCCTTTCCTTGAAAACATTTGTCCAACCTTGTCTCCAATTTCCAAGTACTTTCCCTGAACTCAACAAGTTCATCTTTTTGTTGCAAACCCATTGCAACTCCGAATCCATGAAAGAAGTGGCGCCATTCACCAACCCACCGCTCGTCTCAAAACCGCAATCCTATGCTGTCATACCGCCCTTTCTGTAAGGCCGTACCTGTGGTGGTCGGAGCGGGTGGCTGGCAGTGGGCACAGTCCAGAGCACCTCCACAGCTTCGCAGACCCACCGCAGCCGCTGGGCGTCGTCGAGCGGCCTCACCCAGTGCCGTTCCTGGTCACGACGATGGAGAGGGGTGCAGAGTACCTTAAGGCAAGAAAATCGATCATAGGTTGGAGGCCATCGCTTCTAGGTAGGGGTGCAGAGTGGCCTTTAAAGAAGTCCTTTCAACAAAGAACAAAGGTCTGATGGTCTAGGGATGTGGACTGATTTTGACTGCAGTGCACTCTGCAACTTCATGGCAGGGCTCTGAAAGCGTTGCGAAAGAAGTCTGGGTGGGTTGTTGATTCCAAGAATTTGGGCAGGCGCTTCTCTACTGGATGCGGATCCTGGATTATTTTCATTGGGACTGGGCGCTTCACTTTGAATCGGCACCTTGGCAATAACGCCTCTGCATTGGCCGCGCATGGGAAGACTGTTGCCTAGATGCAGATTGTGCCAGAACCTCGAGGCTACCATGTTGCCACATCAAATGATCGTTTTGGGGGGGTCAATCGAGTCAGACGCCTGGACTGGACTCATGTAAAGAGAATGGCAATTCCGGCAGTGCCTGGAATATGTTCTTTTTCAGAATGATGCAGAGCACACCCCTTCCAATGGGCGGGAGCGAGTCTGGAGTGCTTTTGGTGGTACCCAACTCACTTTCTGTGGACCGCATCAGATGCATCCACAACAAAGGCATACTCTTTCAAACATTGGATGTTTTGTATCTTTACGGCTGTTCAGTTTTCATGGTAACTATTTGCCATGTCATTGAACAGAAAACCTAAAAGACACTGCAAATAGAGCTGTTATCCTCTACCCAATATTCTCTACAAAATGGTGGAGGTCGAGCTCCAAGAATGACGGTGATTTATAGACTGCGGCTTGTCAACCACGTCTATATACTGTAATCAATGATGTTCAACCTTGCAAAGTTTTTTAATTTTCTATTTTTTTCTGTAACATTGGCCAAATTGTGCCAGCCCAGTGCCCCAAAAGGTTGCTCTGGGCATTTTACAGGGAAAAGCTACCAAGGCCAAGGCCAAGGACATCAAAACTTGAACATTTCAGGCAACCCCCTGCCAAAGGTTGAGCCCAGCCATTTATGGTACCGAGATTTACAATGTATTTCAAGAGATAGTTCGAACACACGAGTAGGTGCAATGTAATTTTGCCTGCGCCTTCTTTCCATGTTTTGGCTCTTTACATACTACAACCACATGCGTTGCAGAACTCAAACACACTGTCAGTTGGCTGAAAGATTGGAGCAAAACGTGAGGGGTCGCAGCGCCGACCCAATTCCTGGGCTGCTGTAGTAGCTTCTCGTTACTAGTAGTATGGCCAGGAGCCCCTAGTAGCGTCCTTGCTCCTAGTAGCGATGCCCTTTGCTCCTAGTAGCGTCCGATCGCTCCTAGGTATCCAGAGTTTCGCCCTATTGAGTTTTTTCGGCGTTCCGATGCCTAGAGTGGGGTGTATAGATCAGTAAAGGGGTCGCGTCCCAATTTATGTCATTCAAACTGGAGAGGTGGTGGCAGTACAAATTGTTGCTGAAACTGCGCTCGAGCAGCAATCCAGACTTCCCCTGGTTCGTATTCATCCCTGGACAGTCAAGTCATGAAAGGAATAAATTTGTCTCAGGTACCTCATATGCTAGAGCTCCTGTTGCAAGATGAGAAGCTCTACGCATCATCTTCAAAGTCCAGGGCCTTCAACCAGCGCGAAAAAGAACAAAGCCTCCACTTCTGGCGAGATGGTCTTAGTCGACTCCTAGGAATCACAGCTGAATGAATTTCATCGGGCGAATCCTGGCATCTGGGATCATGTGAACCTTCAGGAACATGCTGCTTATGCGTTTGGCATTATTTGGCCAGATTCGGCGCTTGCTGAACGATTCAACGCGTAGGGCTCTTGCGTAGCCGCCCGGTCAATTGCTGGGTGATGGCGGGAAGCTGCCGCAGTTCTCCCCGCTGGCACTGAAATCAAGCTCATGGACCAGCTCGTCTAATTGCTAGTTTTCAACTTCAAGGCATTCTCCTGGCAGATTGCCAGGCGATGTCATGGGAGTCATACAGCAGCATAGCAGGCACTGGAACTAGACTGTGATATTCAATGACATTATATAATAGTATGTTTGTCAGTAACCACTCCGGAGGCCTAGTTGTTTTGATCTGAACCCTCCATTATTGAGTGCTTCAGTATCTTTCAGTCATGTGGCGTTCATTTGACTTTAAGGGCCAACAGTGCCAGTGGTGGATAGTCATGGATAGTAACGATGCTGATATCTGCATCCATGCTTTCGCTACATCCTTGGACAGAAGAGCTGGGGCTCTTTCTCGCGCTCTGCCCTATGGGCTTGCGTGTAATCGTGAGAAGCTTCTGGGCTGTCAGGCATAGTCAAAACTTGCAGGTTGGCTGATAATTGCGTGGCCAGGGTGACCTTTGTGAATCGAGGGACTGGGCGGCCTTCAATTTTGCTATGGAAGCCATGTATATACTGTAAATCTGAGGGAGCCCCACCAAGTTCTCACTTCTGTCGGATCCAACACCCAGACTCCTACCAGCTCAAATCTCCAGGCTGATATCAACCTCCTTCAGCATCTTCAAGCAGTCTTCAAAGCACATTTTGCACCGGAGTGAAACTGGAAGAAGGTGAATGGTGTGTGCTCATCCTCACGCGCCGATGGCTGAAATTTGCTTCCCCGAACCTCAAGCTCCAATCCACTGACGGCAACGGCGTTTGTCAAGAACGTTCTCATTTGCACAATGTTGATGTTGCAGCTGTCTTGATCGATTGTCGACTCTTCATCATCCGTTTTGCGGAGCAAAGAAAACGTCGTCGGAGCCTACCATGGGGCGGATGGAATTTGGTTGGAGTAGATGAGTGTAAGTGTATTCATTTTGGTTTAGTCAGTTTAGTCTTTTCGACGTGGCAGCAAAATCAGGTTCCCATGCTCCAAGAATTCATATGCTTGCTTTTGATGTAGCCTAGCTGCGTAGCCTTTCCTTGATCGAGACGCCAAGCGCCACAATTGCCATGGCCCAAGGTGCCATCATGGATCTATCACAGTTTTTGTTTCGACAAGTGGCATCAACAATCAATCAGCTTGCGGACCACCTGTCATGTGCGAAGCTTAGGGACCGCCATGCAATGGGGGGCCTGCTGCCCAAACCTGTCACCAAGAAAGAGACGGAGGTGCGAGCAAGATCGCAGTTCTTCTTTGCCATTTTCTACCAAGTAACATTTGTGGGTGATGGGTGGTTGGACGTTGGAGAGCATTTACAAGGCCTTGTTGAATCAATTCTGTGGTGTCCTGACAGTCTTCACCGAATTTCACACACCCCAGGTGGGCAGTATGCAGCACTTTCCACTGCCAAGGGAATTAAGTGGCAATGAAAGTCTCCCAAGAATATAGGTTGAGGATCCAGTGAAGATATTGTTTATCATGGCAATCGCACCCCAGCTGAAAGGTCCTTGGCTCAAAGGAGAGCCGTTTCATCTTGAAGCAGTCATCCACCAGATTGGAGTTCGTTTTTATTCACCTGCCCTTGTGGCATTTGGGTTGTTTCATTTGCCACCACTGCAGGATGGAGCCGGCGCGAAAGGATGCTTCTCCTTCGGTGTCAGCTCCATGCAGGGCTGGCGTGAAAACATGGAGGACGGCACGGCCGAAAATGAAACTGCAAAAATTAGTAACAAGAAGCTACTAGGAACAAGTGCATCGCTTCTAGTAACAAGTGCCTTACTAGTAGTAACAAGAAGCTATTAGAATCAAATTAAAATTAGTAAAGAAGGTTTTGAAAACATGGAGGACGGCATGGCCGAAAATGAAACTGCAAGTTTCTCTAAAGATCCAGGAACCGAATCTTGAAGAAACGGGAGCTATTCTGCGTCCTACCTAGTAGCTTAAGTAGCCACAAGCGAACTTCTCCCTTACTTCATTAGGTAGGCGCCTACTTATTAAGTAAACGAAGGGATGTATGGAGCTTTGGGAGAGTTTCTCTTGCGCCCTTGTGGATTTTCTAGATTCTAGATGCTTCCAGTGAACGTATACGTATGAACACCCCGCCCTTTTGCAGCACATATGTATGTATAGGTAAATATCCTCCTCTCAAGGTCAGTGGTCTTGTGAGGTCCTGTGCAAGACTTATGATTTTTTGCAAAGAGACTTCTTTGCAGAAAGCAGGAACTGGGACCAGTTGGAACAAGTGACCATTCATCCGGTGCTCATCGAGTCGTTCCCGTCGTTCCCTGATGCGAGGTATGGAAGGTTTCAAAACACTTTCATGTGGAAGACTCGTGATGCACACTTTTCGATTTGTGTGTTTCAGCCAAATGGGAGCCTCATTCACAATAATATATATATATAATATATATATATACAAAGTAGAGATGTCCGAGATTTCCGGAAAATCAATTTTTCAACATTTAACAACACTTATGTGTGGATAGTATAGACATATCAGTACAAAAGCTTGAAACATGGTCGAGATTTCCAGAAAAATGTGACATGTGAGATAATTACAGAACGTGTCACAGAAACCTTTGCACCTCACCTCACCACCTCACATTTCACCACAGTACACCTTCAACATGCACCATATCAAGAATCACTGTATCAGATTGCACTTCACCACATCATATTATATATACACACATGGCTCCAACACTTCACCACACTTCACCATGAAACTCCACCACACATCACCTCCTCAGGCTTCATCACATTGCACATGACCGTGTCAAAATCACGACACTACACTTCACCACCTCGTGAAACACCATGCATGACCACCAAGCAATGCGCATCACCAAATATTATACTACAAACTAAGTCTTCTTTGGACGCTCCCTCCTCGTGCTGGGTGAGCCTGGTTTGGGATTTGCAGGGTCCAACCGATGAAGAACAGGATGCGCACATGGCCATCCCCGACTTCGATCCGGAGCGTGAGCTTGGCCTCTTCGGAGTCTTCGATGGTCATGGCGGATCGGCGGTACCTGGGTCGGAGAAGGGATGCGTATGGAATGGTGTGGATGGGTGAAGAAGAACATGGTTTTACACGAGCCGAACGAATGATCTTGAATCAGGATGAATCAGGTTGGAGGCCATCGCTAGTATATTGGAGGCTATTCTTTCCAAGGCCGCCATTAGAAAGGATTATATCAAGTAGGAAGAAAGGAGGAATTAATAAACCAAACAGTGGGGTGAACACCGGAGCCGCTCGAGTCCGAAGGATCAGCACAGGTGACATCAGGATCAGCGGGGTTTGTGGAAGTCGTTCGATTCCGCCGGGAGTCGATTTGGTTGGTTGGTCGATCTGAGTGGGTGGTTGGTTGGTCCCCTGGTCGATCTGGGTTAAATTTCCCACAATTGCTGAAAGTGCCTCTGTCCGATTTGGTTTTTGACTCCAACACGGGCTATCCTGCAGAAGGCCTTCAATCCCTTCTCCAGATCACCTACGGCTTCCAGTGGCTACCTACGTAGAAGCCCGTACAACCTTCATCATCAACAATATCAATGCTTTCTGTGGTTTCGGCCGCAATTCCTATAAAGTCAGCATAAACACGTACTGTTGGGTCTGACAGAACAGATGACCATGCGGAAGCTCAATCTTATCGATCCAGCTATCCATTCCTGGAGTCAATTGTGCTCTTCAGGTAGCCAAAGTTGCTGCTGCCACATTTCCCAATATGTTGAGCAGCCAGAAATCCTTTAGCCAGGCTGGACTGAATGATAAGCAAGAACAATTCTGTGCCTTTATTTTTCCGACGACGTGCTGGCGAAGTGTAAGTGCAATTGCTAAGCTGAACATCACGAGATGTTTTGCAACAAGCTTCAGAGCCACTTGGAGGCCATCGCTAGTAGGTGGGAGGCCATCGCTACTAGGGCGGAGGCCATCTGAAAGAAGTGCATGACAGTCACTGCTCAGGGCCGCTATTCCGAAGCTCTGTATGAGGATCTGGGAGCGTTCGATAGATTGGGGGACATGCGAGCCGGATATTTGCAAAGAACTCACAGAAACATGTTTGAAGATGATCTTTCAGCACTTCTCTGAACAAGTGATTGCTTGACCTCGACCCAGTGAATGTTTGTGAAGAAAGGGTGTGATCACATGGTGAGGCTGCGTGGGACTGGTCCTTATTGAGGGCCACAGAGAAGCCTATTATGAATACTAGGTCACTAGGCTATACTGTACTGTACTGATATACCAGGCACAAACCCATCATGTCCTTGAAGAGTGGATCCTTGGTATCGACCATGCACCACTCGCCATGTTGGGATCGGAGGTAACAAGTGTCGTCCTTGTTCTTTTGCCATGCATTCCTTAACTGCAGATCTCTGAAACAAGAGGTTTGTGATCAGTCTCTGTGTTCCCTGGTCTGTTTCTCCCAAAGATCAGACTCATTGTACAGCGCCAGGCCTTTTTGGCCTTGGATGAGTTCTTGGATAGTCCGGCTGGAAGGGCCAAGGCCTATAGTGTGGCGAGGGTATGGGAGACGGGATAGAGTGTTAGACAGATGGACAATAGAATTGCTAGTTGAACCATGCCTCCATAGGTAGCCCCCTGACTCCTGACTTCTACTGTGGAGATCTGGTTTGATTAGTTATTGTATTCTGTTGTGCTTTTTGATTGGGCTTAGAGTGATTCCTTATAAGGATACCCAAGAGCGGTTCAGAAATTAGCCCAGCTGGAGACCCCAATAGCAAGATACAAACCGGGACAAAAAGAAAAAATCTGGAAACCGCTGCTGTTTTCAACACATCGACCATCTCTTCCTTGGACACCATCATCACATAACCGGGACACCATCACAAAATGACCAGGGCACCATCAAAACATGACCGAGACACCGTCACAACACGATTGGGACACCATCACAACATAACCGGGACACCATCACAAGGTGACCGGGACACCATCAAAACATGACCGGGACACCGTCACAACATGAGCGAGACACCATCACAACATGACTGGGACACCGTCACAACATGACTGGGACACAATCACAACATGACCGGACACCAACATGACATGACGGGAAAACCATCACAAGATGACCAGGACACCATCACAACATGACCGGGACACCGTCACATGACCCGGACACCATCAAAACATAACCGGCACACCGCCAAAACATGACCAGGACACCATCACAACAGGACCGGGACACCATCAAAACATGACCGGGACACCGTCACAACACGACCGGGACACCATCAAAACATGACCGGGACACCATCACAACATGACCGGGACACCATCA